ATCCTCCATATTATTATGAACTATAAAACATAATTTTAGGCACACTTACAGGGGTAGTTGACCGCCCCATATATCCACTTGGTTGCACATATTGTAGTAGTTGTCTATTCAGAACGTCTGCGTATATTTCTATTATTTCACTAACTATGAGTAATTTATACATCTGCGGTGATTGCCTGGAAATTTCCTTACGATTCAGAGTCCATCTGATTCAACAAAATGTGAAATGCTGAGAAAAGCTTAATTGTGGTCAAAAACCAGCTGTAGGTTTAATGGCTGTCTGGCTTTAATAAGTTCTTAAAAGTTTTCCCATCAAATTTTTTAATTGCAACTGTTTCTATATAAAAAAAACAAAGTATTTTGCTACTCAGAAAAACTGTTTTTGGCTTAGTCCCTTAAAAAATGAATCACTATCTGCTATTATATCTACATTTCGAAATTCAATAAAAGTGAGTACTATATAAGTTTTAATAATTTACAAACGATCGCGTATTAAGTATCAAGTACTTAATACTGATTGATATTCCGCTGTTAAGTCCAAGCAAACTGAATATTTGAACCGACATTTCTAATATTTAAACCGATAATGAAACCGATTAGATAATATAAAAAGTATTCAATATATATTGTGACTAAATGATGTTGGTCTCTATATATCTAGCAACACTAATAAAATTCTAACAAAAGAACATGTGTTTGAAAGGTGATACTTTGTAAAGATAGTTGTGTGATTCGTCACTAGTGTAAAAGACATTTTGATCCATGTCTTTGCATAAACGCTCCATGTTTGAGTGGTGCATAAATTAAAACAAATAAATTTGGTTGACCGAATTATCATCAGTGAAATGCCACTAACACGCCACGAAATCGAACCATTTTTGAAATGAATCATTATAGGCAATAAAAAATGGGTTGAATACGAGAATATCCAACACAACGATCATGGTCTAAGCTTGTATTCACGGCATTCAAGGTCAAGTATAGTGCTTGATGAGACTGAAACACAATTGTCTATTACGAACTGCTCAAGTCTGGTAAAGTCTATGAAATTATTTTAAAGGATCGGGTAAAGGATATAAATTTCTATGAGATAGCTGAAAACTTGTTTTAGAAATGATCTAACTTGAATTCTAATCTTCTATTGAAGTCTTCCATAATCTAATGTGGCGCGTAAATCACAAATATAGATCTTCTTGAAATAATTTTCTTTATTAACAATAGATCTTGTACTTACATGTTGGAATTTTATATATTTGGAATAAGAGGATCAATAGACAATACTAACGAACCAATCAAAAAATATATGCTACCTTGAAAATATCAAAATCTAGTATTTCCATTAGAATTTCCATTAATACCAAAGATTTGTACCAAATGGATATGTCATTTGCATTAATGAGCAAACAACAGTGATTTGATAATTCTGAAAGTAGTTCAACACAATAAAAAAAATATTTTAAATTACATTTCACAATGGATGCAACATGGATAATCCAGTGTTGAATATTTCCTTTTAAAGAAAATAATAAATCCATAAATAACAAATCGCAAGGCAATTTTTTATAATATATCCTAACACAATGTAAACTATATCTTTTGTATTTACTCAAGTTTATTATTAAAATAAACAATAATTTTACGCTAATAAACTAAATTAAGGTAAGGTAAATAAACTAAATTAAGGTAAGGTAAATAAATTAAATTAAGGTAAGGTAAAAAAAAATTCTATAACTATTTTCAGGTAGCCTAAAATCATTAACCAAATAGTGGGACTAAACCGAATTACCTTGACTTATTACAAAAATTAACCATAAATAGGGACTTCATTATAAACAGTTAAATATAAATAAAATAAATAAACCAATAAAAAAATATATACTCTTATATATAACAATTTATTTTCACCAATAAATAACGTTGGAAAACCAAATTTCAGGGACGACTTTAATATCGGAAACTATTATTGTAACATATAACGTGAGATCGCCTATTGCACAAGATATTAATGAAAATTAATAAAAGAGCAATTTTTTTATAACAATTAATAATAAATAATTAATTAATTAATAATAATTTAATAATAAATTCTAAATAGAAATCATTATTTCTTTAATAGCATGGATAAGCATTTGTAGCCCTCATTGCCGACTATTGAGAGTTACATAGGCCTCTTTACGACTTTCACTAATCACGGTACGTTCATAACTATATATCGCATTCAGAAATCCTTATATAGCTAAATAAATATTAAGTTCTTATTAATATTATAATAGAAATGTATAGAATATTTCTTCTAACGCAAACGTAACCGTCTGTCCAATAGTATGGACGGTATTGATGGTCGACGTAAACTATATATGTTAATAAAATTTAAATTAAATTACTCACTAACAAAAGTTAATAAGCTTAAAATAACTAAAACAATTTTTTAGTTAACTGGAGTGATAAAAACAATACGTACCATATTCAAGATCAGCTGTAGTAGTAATATATAGAAGCTATAATAAAGCCCCACCCCATAGAAGACGTATGTCAAATTTTTTGATGCAAACTATTAATGTCTTCTTTTTTAGGGTAAAGCTTGTTGTTTTAAAATAACATTATAGTATATCCATTTAAAATTACTTGAAATAGTACCACAATCTCTGGCTTATTTCGAAATTTAAAAGAATTAAAAGAAAATGCAAATTTAAAATTAATAGTAAAACAGATCAAATATAGAACCACCACTTATGAAATACTTAAATTTTTTATTTATTTTTTTCAATGTCTTTATTGAATCACTTTAATTTAAAGCCAAACAATTGTTTTAAAATTTTAAAGATTAATAACATTAAATCACCAATTTTTATTATATAGACATACTATAATAAGATATATAATGATTTGTATTTAAAGGGGCCTCTGAATAAGTAACTTAGCAGATATCGTGTTGGCTTATCAGATATCACGGCATAGAAGTTAAATTAATTTAGGTGATCTTTGCGAAAGCAGGATGGCGGGTCTATCATTCCATTTCAGTCTAGAGGAAATTTTTTAATGATTCACAAATCGTTCGACGAATTCTACTCTCCGTGTTGATATGACTTTTACCTTTTTAAAAAATTGCATTTTTCAATAAGCGTTTTAAAGAAAGCGTTTTAAAAGTCATCCATAGATCATCCACTGACTTTCCACAAGATATTTCTGTCTTTAACAGAACAACTTTTTCTTAATCCTAATTATTGAGTCTTGTTTACTTAAATACCAGACTTTTAATGCCTTGTATGACTTTTATCCATTAAAGTCATACATACGTAAGACAATACATACATTCTTGACATATCTGGGCATATCTAAGCACACAGATAATTTTTATTGTTTTGAATAAAATTAAGTAAACAAAAGAACCTTTACGTACATCATATTTGATTAATGAAAACTTCTATCCTTACATAGTTTTGACAAAAGGATTTCAAAGTTTTTTAAAGATGATATTCTAACAAAAAAAAAGTCGGATCCGATGTAAGATAGTATCATTATTTTGTTGTTTAAATTGTAATAATAAATTACAACTTTCTATTGTCACGAAACACCAAACAAAATTAATTGACTTAAAAAAAGAGAATTTTGGGTTGCCTTTCAAAGGCTATTGTCCGAGCCATAGCACTTGAGGATCTGAAATAAATACACCACTGATCACAATGGTCTTTTGATTATGTCGACTAACTTTTTCTAATGACGAAGAAATTATTACAATAGTACTACAATATTATTAAATAGTTTGAAAACCTCAACAGTTATCAGTTAGAAAAAGAACTCAATTGCACAAAAATAGATCGAAAGACCATGAAAGTCTTGTTTGTTAGTACATAATTGTAATAGTTATGAAGCAAAAACATCGGAAATACTCTATCTAGTAAAAATTTATTAGATTTATGTGACCACATAAATCTAAAATGTAGTCAAACTACATTCAGTCAAACTATTCATAAAATCAACTATACCTATTAAGTCACATTATATTAATTTAATTATTACAATAAGAGATATGAAATATAAATCTTTAAAGCAAGCCTTTCATGATCTTTCGATCTATTTTTGTACAATTGAGTTCCTTTTCTAACTGATAACTCTTCAGGTCTTTTAAAGTATTTATTACTATTGTGGTATTCTATAATAATTTTTTAGTCATTAGAAAAAGTTAGTCATCATAATCAAAAGGTCTTTGTGATCAGTGCTGTATTTACTTCAGACCGTGGTCTTCTATATTAATTTTTTAGTCATTAGAAAAAGCTAGTCATCATAATCAAAAGACTATTCTGATCAGTGGTGTATTTACTATAGACCGTGATGTTCTATAATAATTTTTTATTAGAAAAAGTTAGTCATCATAATCAAAAGACCTTTGAGATCAGTGGTATAGTTACTTTTTTTAAATTCAAACATTATAAGATTAAATTTAAACTCAATACGATTTATTATATTTGAAATTTAGTAAAAATTATTGCATTACATCCACAATTCAAAATTAAGTCAAAAATATTTCTTTATAGAGTTTATAAAGAAATCAAATATTTATATAATTCTATATAAATATAAATGTGTTATATATATATATACTATATAACACAATTTATCTCGATATTCTTAAAAATAATTTACAATAATTGTTACTATAGCAATTACTAATAATATGTGTATAAATATATATATATATATACATAGTACAATTAATCTGAATAGTTTTTAGTAGGAAATATGGTAGGAACTATATAACATAATTTATCTCGATATTCTTAAAAATAATTTACAATCATTACATAGCAATTACTAATAATATATGTATATAAATGTATATACATAGTACAATCAATCTGAACATTTTTAATTATAATTTACAATTTTTGTTATAGAAATGATCTATAATATAATGTAATATTTAATGCAACACAAATTTATCAAGTTTTATTGAGTTTTTTCATCTTCATTCTAGAAAACTAATGATTAGGGTCGCTGGTCTATGGCCTGTTATCACCAAATACAAACAAATGTGGCTGACGATTAAAGCGGTTCCAATTCATTAAATCATTGTAATATACATTCTTAAGATATGACTCCCCGGACATTTTTATATATTCATTGATAAAAGCAATGTACCGATCTTTTATTAATGCTTGTTCCACACGTTTCGCCCGCCGACGTTCCAAACAAGCCAAAGTATTGCGATCACGACGTTCTTGCTCTTTTGCTGTATGTATCTTTACTGGTTGTGCACGTACCATATTCGAATGATACCGATTTACGGAGATGTATTTTGGCATGTTTTTTGCTTTAGAATTCTTTTTGGATACACGTTTTTTCTTCTTTCCTGGTTCATCCAACCATGGTCGAAAGAATGAATTCGTCGGACATTTTTTAACTGATTGTAAAATCTCATCTGGATGGTTTGGTGAATTTTTCACTGGCATTTTTATAGAATCAGTTGTTGAAGTATTCTCCAAAGATTTATGATTAGCTGCTTTCACTGGTTCTGTAGAACGCATACATTTCAACTTAGATGCGTGAAATTTTTTATGAATATATTCGGAATGTTCCATGTTAATATATTGTCTTACTATTTAGCTTTGAATCGATTAATAGAGTTTATGCAACTGATATTTGTATAGATGTATAAGCACTATATATTACTCCCCGCGCAATAATTTGTAATTTTATCTAATCCTTTTTTTACAGAATAGGTAAAAAAACCCTTATCAACTGGGAGAGGATATATATACTCAAACTATAATTTAATTTCACTTGATATTTTTGTGCCTGTTTCAGATTTTCTGTTAATAAAAGTAATTTTTATTGAATAGATATGTATAATTTGGTAATGCATAAAGGTAGGTAGTGTAACAGGTAGAGTAACTATATGTAGAAATTTCATAGATTACTGATTTTTATTACGTACACGTTATTCCTATAAAACAAATTATACAAATAGAGTTACAATAGCTGTTATATATTTTTTAAGAGTATTTAGTTCCTTTAATAAATTTGATAATACCTGCAAAAATAGAGAATTGTTTGAAATATATCGTTCTCTATATATTTCATATCCTAATAACCGTAATTAGTAACCAACACTCATGTTCATAGGAGGTAAGAACATAGAAGCAGAACATATGTGATATCTTTGTTATAAATAATAAAGATATTTCTTTATTTTCAAAAATGATTGAAATGAGATTTAAAAAAATTAATATATATTAATAATAGTGTAATTTATCTCACTTAGAAGAAGATATAAATATATAAATACATAACGTATAGTACGCAAATATGTGCCTAAGAGTCGTGATGTCTATATATTATAATATACACTAGCTGCTTGAATCAACTTAATACAAACACGAATCAATTAACTCTATTATTAGTAGATCCATCGCAATTATGTAGATCCAGTTTCTTGATAACTTCATTCAAGTAATCAGCAGATAAAAATCTTTGTGACTACTTAAAAGAGCACTGTTGCTTTCTATAAATTTAATACTTCCTTAGCGTAGTTTCTGTAACTATTTAATTATAGATTATAATGTGCCGTTTACATCTGATTTTTCGTAGATCGTCTTTAACATTTCCTTTGGATTTGTTTTCTACTTTGTTCTTTTTCTCTTGTCCGATTTAAACAAGTTATGAACTTGTTTCTTCACTTCGATTACTCCATGACTTATTCTCTGCTCCTATATAATAATGTTCCTCCATTAGACCTTAATATCATCTTGAAGTAACACATGTTTAGCTCTTTCAGGAAAGCGCAGCAAGAAGAGACCTTTCATTACATTTTTAGAATCCCACCTATTTTTGTGACTGTGACTCAAAGATTATGTATGTAGTTTACATATATAGGTAGTTATATATGTAGTTTAATCTTCAGTGGCAAGCAATGTAAATATTAACAACTTTGCCAACCTAAAAAAAAGAATTTGAACTTAAATATTGATTGTAAAAATAAATTTCAATCTATTTATGAACGGTTGACCGAAATTTAAAAACCTTTTTAATAAATGAATCATATTTATTCAATCTTATTTAATAGTTTTCAAACAATTTGTCCCTATAAACAACTAACTAACCAACTAACTGGCCACCAATGTGGCCTTCTCTTCTAAGAGCACATTGGTAGCTTACCTGAAAATGCTTCACCGCGTCTTCAATGACAGGAATAAGCCTTTTTAAGTAATGGCTTTAAGCATTGCTCCTAATATTTAAATTCAATTTTGATTTTTATTTGTCAAAAATTATTGGCAATTACTTTATATGCCTCAAATCTTTTCTATAGTATCACAATGAAACTATTTATCGGTGTTGAAATGATTTACAACACTCATTACCCATCTAATAAGATTTTAGAACTTATTGTTAGTCTCATTCTAAGAGAAGATGCAATAAGTAAATGTATGTTTTAATAAAAAAAAAAAATTTTGCACAAAAAGTGCTTTCTATAATAATAATACTATATATATATAATTCTATAATAACACTATAACTAGGTTTCTCCTTTCTCTGTCCTGTGCAAAAATTTAATGGAAAGCATAAGAAACTAAAAAACATTATAGTAGTGATGGCCGTGTATTATTTTTCGCTACATCCAGTAGCATTCACAAGCCAGCCCGATCAACGTTTTGGTGTCCGCAGTTCGTGGCCTTCAAATGAATATTTTTACCGTAGCTGACCGACTATCTCAGAAGTAAGTCGACTTCGTGAAATATAAAAAGAGTTGCCGTCAGATATAGACTATCTAATGAAAATTTGTTTATGTGCCTACATATAATTACTGCATTCAGTCGACCTATCTATACATTCATATAAATCAACCACAGATTGATCATATCCCTACACCAATAAGAATGAATACAACATATTTGACAAATTCTTCAATATCTTTTAATATCAGTCGATGTACTTTGTTTGTGATGCAAGCAACAATCAATATGTATCATTTCCTTCGCAATTGTAAGTAATTTTTTTCTCAATACAATGCTTTCTAGACAATAAGCAAAATCACATACTCTGGAACTCTATGTTTTCTGAAGGAAATCCTTACCTGTGCTCCGCACCAGTCTTATATGCGGAAACATATAAAAAACTGTAGTAAACATAATAAAATTTTCAAAGTACGATCGGTAACTTACCTTTGTTTCAGACATTTCCAATTAACTCCGTAAGGTCGGTAACCTATTTAAGTATTATTTATTGCTTTTCTTTATCATTTATGCTACTGTTAATAAATATAATTTTTAAATTAAAGGAATTCTTTGAAACCAAGAGGGATATACGTAGGAAAATATACTAAACCTATGCGTAGTTATACCTTCGTCGCAATGAATTGATTTACCTATGCATGATTTACCTATATATAATATATATAAGATTAAAGTAACACAAATAAATAACTCAATTATGTAGACTGAAACTACAAAATTATTAATGGACACGTTTGGGACAAATCTCAAACATTTAGGACAGCAACTACATTTCTTTAGCGATATAATAATATAAGATGCTATAAGTCTAATCCGAAAATCAATTGGAGTTTTAACTTATTTTTTGGGTTCTAATCCAATTGAAAACAGGTACAGCCAAGTTAATTCTTTTCGAAGCAATGACCAAACAACCATCAAGTTACCGTTGTAATGTAGAGTTTTTAGACCTTTGGGGCGTGTTTAACCGTTATTAATACATTTTATTGTATTTATTAAACATTTTTATTAATATTTTAATCGAAATATTTAAAAACAACATTAGTTCACTCAATATATAATATACATATGAATAAAGTATATATAGGTCGTGTGCGAGTTAGGGGCTAAGTTGCGTTCTAAATGAGGGAAATTCTAAGTTGTGCCGATAATGTAGTGAGGTATCGATACATGTTGATAAATGGCTAAATGTGTATTGTGCAAAAAATCCCAAAAAATCTCCCATTTGGTTTAGCATCAACTTAGCCTAACTCGCACACGTCCTTAATACCTACACCTATTAATACTCAAGTTAAATTAGATGAAATTATGAAGATATGTATTAAAGTTAAACCTATCATCACTAAAGCTAATATTAATAGGCCTAATGTAATATTACAAGATCTTATATTAAAATCCTTTCACTTTTTCACTAACCCTGGGGTTGTTATCACCCGGTCTCGATGGCTCAGCAATTTTTTGTTATGTCTTCAAAACATAATACCTTAAATCACAAAAGATTTCTCAGTACATTAAATAATTAATTAATTAATTGATTGAATCCCTAAGTACATTGGGATGATTTATTCTTCTATAGCGGAGAAACTTAAGATGTATATCAGATTTATCTGACTATATTAAATATGTAGTCTATATTGATATTCTAACAAACATTATTAAACTGTATAAAGCTAGTATAACGAGTTCTTTCGAGCTTAACAAAAGTTCGGAAGATTCTGTTTTCTTGCACAGAATATGATTTTATACGAAAATAACTTTAAGGAAACTAAATGTAATTAATTCATAGGTACATGCTGGAGTTAAATAAATTATTTAAAACTTTATCTTCCTTTATATCTAATCATCTCAACTCCTCTTGTAATAAGTAATAGTAACAATGTTTCACAGATTTCTTAATCACATAATTTTTTGTTGAACTTTCCTAAATCAATTTTATCTACCAGTGGTGGAAATGATCGGGGATCAAGGTGTGTGCATTCGTCTTTCTGCACAAATCTCAACTTCAACCTTCTTGTGGTGATTTCTGTTTTACACATATGAGGCAATGGCGACCTCATAGTGTTTAGCGGTATAACTATTCCACAACATCTGAGAGGTTCTTGGGGAAATACCAATTGCCACATAAAATCCATGGCAGGTTCAGAGGCTCGGGACCTAACAATTTTTTGTAAGGTGGTAAACCTATCACCGAAGTAAGATACTTTGATGTGATCAGCCAATGTATTTGATTTCCAAATGATTCGAGTATCCACAAGAGTAGCTTCGGATAGAAATGGAAATTTGATGACAACCCTACGCAACGTTAAAAGGGCTATTCCAAACTGGAAAATTTGCTAAGTCTCTGCTAATTATGAAAGGCTTAATAATGAAACTGATACGCCTTTTGGGAAAGTTTTATTTCAGGTATTCTATTTCATTATCATTAACCTCAAGTTCCGATTACGAAATGTTTTTTCAACTATGTACTAATATAGCCACTAAAATGCTATTTTATAGCATTTATTTTCTTTGTATGAGCGTATTATGTATAAAGATGTTTAAATATCTACCGGATTATTGTCACACTTATAGAGCTTTTTTTAATATAAATGTTTCATTCTTATACAGTTATGTTACTTTTTCTGTTACCAATTCGATTAACTATATCGATAATTTATTTTCCGTTTGGAATTTATAATATATATAATATATTTATTTAATATATTATTATTATGTTAAGGGTTAAGGCAATTCTTAATATTACAGAGACCAAAATAGTATCCAATGAAAGCTTGAAACTTTTGATCAATGCGATTCATATTCTTTATAGCACGTTTAGATTATATTATTAACAGTACATTAAACCTTTCATC